GTTGTTGTTGCTGCTGTTGCTGTTGTTGCTGCTGCAACATATGCCGTATCGTTACTGTTGCCGCTGTTTGTGCTATATCTGTCATATTAGCAGTCAATTGTTGCTGTTGTTGATACCAAGTGTTTTTCATTCGTTGCTGCTGCTCTCTTATTGCTTGGTGCAATAATACTTGTTGTTGTTCTGTCGCATATTTTTCTTGTTGCAGCAATTCAAACTGTTGTCGCATATTTTGTAAATGCTGTGAAGTTGTTGCATATATACTTGATTTTTGCTTATCAACATGTTGCTGTTCTTGCTTGTTGCTAGACAATGTTGCAGTATTGTTGTGAGTTTTTATGTTTTGCGTTTGTGTTTTCGGATTATCGAGAGAACTTGAGGTCTTTATTTCGGCATTTTTTTTTGATTTTGAAATTATATGTAAATCATAAAAAAAAACAAAGAAAAAGAAAAACTTAAGAAAAATTTCTTTAAACAAAAACTTAGAAGGAAAGAAGGATTTTGTAGTATTATTTTGTGTATATTTTAAAAATAATTTGTAAAAATCAAAATTATAAAAACAGAACAGTACTTTGGACAACATAAGTAACAAATAAAAATATCGAAAATTGTTAGATTTTTTCTTTTTCTTGGCCGATTATTTCTCTTATCATTATTATCTCAATAATCCTTCATCCTTCTCCATTTATTCATTTCTTAAGTTTTTATTTTTCTACGAATTACACAAAACTCATTCCATTAAGTGTGAAGCATTTTCTTTTAGTACATTATTTAACAAATTTAATATAAATATATATTTAATACAATACATAGATTCAGGATCTTCCTAGGGTTACAAATATAAAATACTTTCTAAATTAAATTAATTTGCTACATTAAAATGCATATAATATGCTTACAAAAAAAAATTTGTTTTTAATTATAAATTGGAACCATCGTACCGGTCCAAAGAAAAAACCTTAACAAATTACGATTAGTTAGACAGGACACTTAATGTATTCTATACGGATTAAGTCTACAAATATTGGAGACAATATAATGTTTATAAACATGTTCAGGAAACTTTGCGATTTACATAATACATTTGCATATACATTATATATAATATAATAAAATTTTATATTTGCTATTTCTAGAGAATATTGGGTAAGATTAACTGCTTTAAAAGATTAACTGCCTATATAGTAGGACATTTGAAACACAAGATATATAAACGAGTTAAGATGGGTGAGCGATGAAAGGTAAAGATGGAATAGAAGAGTTATGTGGAGTTGTCGGTTATATAGGTGTCTCATTCACTAGGTTAGGTTAGGTTAGGTTGGAGCGGCGGCCATGTTCGTAAAACCCATTTGAACACAAACAATAGCCCGTTGAATACTCTCTTTCACTATGTAATATATTTATTTGATTAAATTATCAAAATGAAAATTAAAAAGATAACATTTTCAAATATGGATTAAAATAGAAAAATGAAAAACTAGAAAGTGGAAATGAGATTTAAGAAAAGGGATGAGTGGGAAATATTGACCGTAATCTCTACTCAGATAGTTGTATTTACGATTAAAAAAAACTGTTTGTATATATCTATACATCGTTGAAGTTCCCAATTTAAATTTAACTTCCTTAAAATTATCACAAACTCTTCGAAAATCAAATAGTACAAAGGGAAATAATAGTGAGAAAAAATGCGGGTGTAAAACAACGGTAGAATGTAGATGAGTATGTGGAGAGGACAAATGTTCGGAATCGGAAGTATCTAGTCCTTCTTATTTTAAAAGAATGAACTTAAAAGTCAGTAAGGTTAAAGTTACTTTCAATAAATGCAGATTGGAGTTGCTATCTGGACATATATTTAAAATAGAAGAGTTTAAATGTGAACAGTATACTTTGGCATTAATTATATATAATATCCACACCTGGGAGAAAAACTGATCTTTACCAATCATTCAATTTCTGATAGTAGAATATATCCGGTGAATTTTTATAAACAATAAGATATCTTTATTTAATTAATCAAAGTATTTATGTCTGTTAAGAACTACAATCGATTTGATTATGATAATAGATAAGAATGTAAGGTAGGTCTGAAGCTCCCAGTGAATGAAGGAAGACACTGCAACCATAGAAAAAATGTTGTGCTATATTATAATAACAACATTGTAATAGAAAGGTAACAGAACATCCCACTCCATGGAAGCTTAGTTGTTTCGTCATTGGAAGCCTCTATGGAAGCCTGGTTGTGAGTTTAGTCAATCTCATAGCTACAATGTTACCCAAAGTAATATTCTTGTCGATAAGATCATTTGTATATATAAGAAACAACGAAGTCTAAATATCGTTAAGGACAAAAAATCAGAAGTATGTAAAAAAAATTTGTTAAATAGTTTCCTTCATATTTATAAACATTATTACGTTTTCTACTCCAATGATCATAAACTTCTTACACTAAACCAAACTTATTAGTAAAACATATAACATTTAATTTAAAAAGAAAAATATTTCTTACCGGTAAATATTCTGGTGGTAAAGAAACATGATGTTCGCGCTGTTGCTGTTGTTGGGCATCAATTAATTCCTGTTTAATACTAGGTGATTGATTCAGGCCCATTCCACCAATTAATGCGCTTACATTACCACCGCCACCAATGATGCCACCACCAACTTGACTGCCAGCTAACGGCGAGTCACGACGCCCACCGCCGTCTTCAGATTCAGATGTGTTTCCTGTTTTTGGCACGGGACTCGATTTAAAATTGCTGTGTGAGGACGCCTAAATAAAATATAATAAAATAATTAATAAATATTTTATTATAATTAATATATATCTATAAATAAATAAATTTATTAATTTAATAAACATAATTTAAATTTAATTTTATTTTTTTATTTAAAAAATTTGTAAGAGTTCTAAGAAAATAATTAAAAATTTATTCGGTTATTTGATGTGTAAGCCTTCTTATTATTAATTATTTCTACATTACTTTAATTATTTATGTTATAAAGGGTTATTTATTTCGTGGTATTGAAAAGAATGATCATTCAATTTGCTTTAAGTATTAAGATTTGTCATTTTACAATATGAACCGTTTAACAAACGCCGAACGTGTACAAATTTTCTACAAAATGTGATGAAGGTTTTCGCATCGAGTTTCCTAGTGTGATAAGCCTCACTAAGGTTAGGTAGATATTGTAACAAACAAAATAGTTGCATCTGAATCAGTTTAAATACAGAAATCTATCGGAAGATCATTGAATCTATAAGAAACTACTATGTGATGTTGAATTTGATCTGTTGATCTGAATGTACGAAGATAAGATGCGAACCATCAATCCTGATGACTAGGGAGGATCACATTATTACCAATTTGTAGAGAATGAAATTAAAAATACGGATGTTAAAGTTATGTAGTTCCACAAGTGTTACCCGGAAGTATGATTTCATACTTTTATGATTAGAATAAACCAGCAAGATCAAACAATTTGGCATTACTGGACACTTTTTGTGAAATTAAGCAAATAATCATATCTATGTCGACAAGCCTAAAACTCTCGATTCTTTTAGAAAAAGTATTTGTTAGTTTATGTCCTAGCTATATGTGGACAAGTCATTGGAATTACCATAAAAGGACTCACTAAGAAGGATGTGATATTTAACACCAAATAGTAATAAGGTTCCAACAATATATTGGAATAAAATATATGACCAATCATGTGTGTTTTAACCCTATATAGATTATTTGATTAAAACGGATTTATTTATTATTTATCATACCAAACATATTTCATTAATTAATTTTGATTGGCTTAGGATAACTAGATATTTATTGCTTATGAATTTATTTATAATAAAATATTATTATAATAATATTATAAGGAACTTAAGATATTGACATATTAACGTATATAGTTGTAACAATTAATAAACCTAATTTATTAATAAACATATTTATAAATATTAATAACATATTCTTATCAATAAAATTAATGTCTTAATAATCTTATACATTGTTCAAATATTTAATAGATCTAAAAATAGTAATTATTAAAATAAATTAATCAGTAAATTAATTATCAATACATACTAATAACTGATAGAACTAATTTAAACGCAAATATGTCAAAGAAACGATTTTGAAAGAGAAAAGAGTTAAATAGAAATAGGTAGATAGATCTACGGTATTACAACGGGCCTGGCCTTTATTTGTGCTCACGTAGGATTTAAGCACAAGGCTGCCACTCTAATCTAACCTAATCTAAATATATAACTACAATATTTTATTTATAATAAGTTATTGCATTCTTTGGGTAATCATTTTACTATTTTAAGTATTTGCAAAAACCCTTTATCAGTGATCTTTCCATATATTTTTTAGATTGTTGGAAATACATAATTTTTTGGCTCATACACAATTTTTAGACTGCAAGCACCAAAAGTTAACACATTCTGTAATATTGTTATAATATTATATTAATAACATTATATTATATTAAGTCAGAAAATGATTTTAATAAAATCTAAATTAAAAAGAAATAATTAATAGTTATAACAGGCTTTTCCCATCACAATAAATTTATACAAGATACTTAAAGGTAATAAATTAAAAATAATTTTGAGCAAAATAAATTAAAAAAAAAACACTTCGTTATATTTATTAAGTATAAATATTATCACATGCAAAGTAAGAAGGTTTTATTTGGAAACCCTCTCATTCCCTATCTTCTAAAACTTTGCACGACCGATAAGCAATTCTTTTCAATGAATGTAAAGATTTTTATCGAATAAAGAAAGTTTATTGAATGAAACTTATAATCAATGGACTTACCAAATATATAAAAATATATTTATTTACTTATGACATTACATATAAGATTAGACAAAATATAATTTATATGTACGAGAATATATGAGAAAATTGTGGAATTTTCTAGTTTTGCTGTCGTAGCATTTTTTCCTATTCAAGGGGTCTAAAGTGCAAATAAATCTAGAATGTTTACGAAATAGTAGTAGTGAAATATAGTAATTGCATCAGACTTGGCAAGATAGTTTTAAAAACCTAACGACTAATTAATATAAAAACAAAAATAAGTGTATTTCAATGATGAGTTTATATACATCATACGCTAATGATAGAAGATAAGAAGGTTTTCAACGGAGCTGGTATCCCGTTTATTCCTATGATATAAGGGATCATTTCAAAATAAACCCTTATATAATAATTTTTAAATAGTATAGATTAAATAAATAAATATATATTAACAATTTATTGTTAAATTAAACCAATTGCAATTCATTTAAATAAAAGTAATTATGAGTTACTAACAAATTTTACAAGTGGTGGCACTCTTTGACCATTTCAAATGAAAATTATATTGCGTGGTTGTTATTTAATATTAAATTACATTTAATTAAACTGAAATTACATCAACTCGCCACTAATTTGAAATCATTCAGCTGTTTTTAGCTGACAACCGCCTGCAGTAGTAGAAACAGTGGTCACGATTTGCACGATTTTGCTATGTTCACTTGTTAAAAATAATTTAACAACACAAATAAATAAACTATTTATTATTTAATAGTTTGCGATTAAGATTGATAAGTGTTATTAACTCAAATACAATAATTAATTTTTTTTTTAACATCTAAATGAGACAATTAAAAATTTTGATCATAAATGCATTAGCAGATATTTATAACTACAACAGTTTAATATATTAAAATTATATGGTACAAGCATAATATGCCTTCATAACTACAACTATAAAATTTATAATCTTTATAAATTTGTTACTCATAAATTAAAAATTTACTAAATTAAAATAAAAAAACTCTTAACGAGTCTAAAATGTAAAAACAGATATTTTAATGGGAACTTACTTTAGTTACGAAATTAAAATTTACTTTTGATAATAATTATATGATAATAATAATTACAATTATGATAATAATTAAAAATAAACTTATAATTATAACGACAGTACTTATTAGCAGTTGTTTTTGTTAGTAATTAGATCTGTAATGCAGTTCCGGCAACTTCTGGAACAACGACAAAATATAATTATGGTATCCCTATCCTACCCACTCCCCAATCTAACCTCGCTCAAAAATAATCTAAATATAAAATAATCTAATTCACATAAAATACACCAATCCATATCCCAACCCATGTATTCGCTTTATAATTTCTTCCATGTTATTTACTTTACAAATTCCTACCGGTTACAACTACAAGAACATGGTATTCCATATAATAATTTATAATAATATATATAATAATAATCTATATAATAATAATAAATACATTAATAATATATATAATAATAATATATATAATAATAATATAATATATATAATAATAATATATATAATAATAATATATATAATAATAAGATATATAATAATAATATATTATAGTAAAATGTAATATAATATAACATATAACACAATACTCTCGCAGATCACAATAATTTTAATTGATTTTGTTAATTATATTTTTTCTCTACCTGAGAGTCCTGAGTGTAGTGCCTATCCTGTACATTTGCGTTATGTGTCGAGGTCAACGAATTATCACAGTTGGATGAGTTCTTACGTCTTCTCTTATTGCTAATGTGCTCCACTGGTGTGGTAGACATTTCCCTATCACGATCTCTGTCCTTCGTACTATAATCTAACTGCATGAGTTCATCACGGCTATCAGCCCTTTCACGTTCGCCGCGTTCACCAACTATCATACCACCCCCAACACTGCCGCGCTCACTGCCGCGGTCACTGCCAGCATCACCGCGACTATTAATAACGCCACCGCTTAATGCATCAGCGCTAGCGCTACGATTGGCAGCAGCTGCAACGGCTGCAGCAACGGCGGCTGCAGCGGCACTTGCACTGCCAACACTTGGAGATCGTTCGCTTAAACCTAGAGCAACAGCAGCTGCATTCTGTAAGCTGGCATTATTACCAGCGGCCGCAACGGCGGCTGCAGCAGCAGCTGCTGCGGCTACACTACGTTCACTCAAACTGCTACTACTGCGATGTGAGTGTAGTTCATCACGCAAATCTCGACCGCGTAATGAGTCGCGTTCACGTGATTCGCGTTCGTTGATATTTGCGTAGCGTCCAGTTGGTGAGGATGTTGTTGAGTCGCGTTGTTTGTCGCAGTCAGCGCGATAATTTAAGTTATTATTATCTGTCAGACCGCGCACCTAAAATGAATAATTTATTTATTAATTTAAATTATTAAAAATTATATAATTTTAGTTACCTGTAGGCTTTCAGCTGTTTTCAAAAACATCGGTAATGAGCTTTGGCCGACATTTACCTCGCCCCTGTACATGAAATCGAGCAGGGAACGCATTTCGGAGTATCTTACATCTTTTAAATAGATTATAGGATGTGGATGATGATTTTGCAGGAAAATTGTTTCAAAATATGGGCTGCATGCTGACAGGATAGTTTGATGTGCCTGTATGATAAAAAGAGATATATGAATACTCGTATACCAACTATAATATAATATATAAAATATGTTATTTTGCAATTTGAATATGGGACTGATAAGATTAATGGATCTCCAAAATTATATACAAAAGTTTTCGTATCAAAGTATGCCGTATTAAGAACTGATTCGTGTGTATAACTACGTAATACGTCCTTTCTCAATTAGACAGAGCTAAGATTACAGAGAAATTACTTGATGAAACATCATAGATGCTTATTTCTAATAAGACTAAATGACGTTTCAAAAATGAAATGATAAAAGTTTATAGAAGATAATAACAAGAAAGAAGTGAAAATAAAAGCGAAATAATCTAAAAAACATAAAAATGAAGACAAAAAGATAATGAAGATAAAAACGACAAAAATGAAGTGATAAAATCAAAGAGATAAAATAAAAAATGGGAGGCAATGTGATCCTACTCCTTAATTCATTTTACTTTTAAATAATCCCCTCACTTTTCACACTGCCATTACCCATTCATATCCCAACCCATGTATACGTCTTTACTTCATAAAGATGAGAAAAGTGTGTCTACCTATCTTTATTACTTAGAATAATGATTAGCCCATCAAATTGATACAATAAGAATTAGTTAGACTGATTTTCTTACAATTTCAATAGCAGTTTTATGCATTATTAAAAATATTGTGGTACTAAAAATATTGAAACATCGAAAACTAGATAGTTCGATCATATTATTCAGACACTAAGAAAACCGGAGCTATATTCTGCAACAATTTTGTTTATAACCAAATGTCGGACCGAAAGTGGATTTAAAAGCAAAGACGATCGGAAGCTTATTTCCTAATAAGTTGGTTCACAACCAAATTTCGGACAGACAAGTGGATTTAAAAGAGGATAAAGATTGGATTATAAGTATTGATCTGGGCTAGTAGGAAAATAGTGTGCAGAAGGCTTTTATTTTTATATGATATTAAAAAATATTGAACGTGAAACACTTTGATCTATATTCAAAGGATTGAGTGTCTTCTGTTGGGTTAGGGTCAATAGCTATCCCATAGTCGCAGTACCCCAGCTAGTTATCTATTATTTATAATCAATTCTAAGTTGATTATTAAAGACGAGTGAAATATTGGAAAACAAAGACTATTAAGCTCACATTTTCGAAAAATTGTTAGAATAAAATTGGCGATCAATTTAAACAATATTCAAAGCAAACATTATGAAGAAGTTTATTAAATGAGCACCTTTGCTCCATTGAGAGAAAAAGATGATAGAAGAAAAAGTATAAATATTGATAGAATACTTATATTATATATCATTTTCGAATACTTTACCTTTACTGTTTCACCTTCACATGCAAGAGTTACATCGCAAAGTGCCTCCCTTTGTAACAAGGAGGTAAGCACACCAGTTAAATTTGTAGGATGATTGTTCCAGCGCAGACAGAATTGCTGGTCCATCGCTCCTTGGTCAGTATTGTACCTGCATAAATAAATAATATTATTAAGTTACTTTAAAGTTAGTTTTTAATAGTTATATGTAAAAAATTATTGCAATGAAACGTATACTTGTCCAAAACATCTTATTGAAGGGGGTATGTGTAAATAAATATAGAGTTTCGTATAATTATTCTTGAAAACGATTTAGATAAAGAAGAACTGTTTTACTTTTTAAATTATTCTTTTTTTAAATTATTTTTTTTTTTAAATTATATTTTTTTAATAATTGTTTTATATTTTTTAAATTATTTTTTTTTACCTAAGTTTTTGTTATTTTTTTTTGTTCGCAATATTATATAAATAAATTATTTATGTTGATATGATTTGTATCTTTGTAAAATATTTGTTAATGAATTTATTAATTATTTACAAAATTACTTTTTGTTTGTCTTCTAATTTTGATTAGTTCATCTCTGAGTGGATATTTGCATAGATGTTTAGGTTCGTAAGTATAATTTACATATCATTTAAAATCAAATCAATAATTTTGTATAGAAATACTTTATTATGCAAATGAATGCAAGATATGTGTAAGGAACAGAACACGAGAAATTCATCAAATGCAATTTGCACTTAATTATTATTTGCATAAATAAATGAAATATGTTTACAATGCACCAGCAATAGAATCTATGAAATATTTATGAAAAATTCCATATGCGACAAAAAAAAAATATACATATGTATATGTATATGTATAATAGTAATAATAATAATAATTGAGAAAAAAATAGTATAGGAAGTTTTATCAAATAGTTAAAGTAAGGAACAGTTTTTATCGATTCATTGTTTTAAACATTCTTCCTTTGTGTCTGTAATTATGCCATTAGATTCTGGATGGGCTCACTTAGACAAGTTCAATGTTCCTTGAGTTTGTTTATCTGCCAGTAATTCGCATAGAAATGCGACATTTATCGGTTGCATTGCATAACTTCGCACATGTATGCTTACATATTTACATATTAATTATAAATCTAATTACTTTGAGCTATTTCAGACAGGTGTGCAGAGGCATACAGAGTAAATTCTAACTGCACACAAATGCACTTTAATTGCATGTGCATAATTGTTCAATTGTCATTATTATTGCACTTCCGATGTGGCAAGTTTAACCGCATTTTTGTACATAAACAAAAAAAATTAAATGTAAATGAAGTGGAATATTTTTTCCCTAATATAGTAATTGACTTATAGAAGTCAATATAGTTAGTAAGTGAATTTTTTATTTCAAAAGCAAAAGGATTTCTTTAATGTTGGTACTAAAATTTAATGTGTAAAGTATATAACTAATGACATATAATCAAAATCGGATGTATTTGATTTAATAACGCAATTTTATTACATATCAACAGTTGCATTCCACAGTTTTGTTGGTTCAATCGACCAATAAGAAGTTCAAAGTAGGCAGTAGTTCTACGTAAGCTATTAGTAAGAAGTGACTGTTGTAAGATCTATACAGTTGTTCGGCATCACAGCAGGGAGGACGACCTCAGACAAATGCCGCTTAATCTTATAAGTAAAGAAATGGTAGTACTATCTGCTCTTAAGATTACGCCCAATGTCTTATACTTAATACTACATAAAGGATTAAAAAGGTACTTTTAGTCTTACTTAAAAAAATATTGACTACATCTCTCCCATTCTCCATTTCCACATCTATTCGAGTTTCTATCTAAGAAACAAAAGTTAATCACTGAGAAGATCTTATCATTTTTACTGACGGCTCTAAAATAGGTAGTATAGCACTAAGTGTACACATAAGTCACTGGAGTTTTCTCAGAAGGACTGAATAAATCGATTTATTATGGAATTTTTGTTCATTACAGTGTTTATCAGGCGGATGTGATCGGTGTTAGGAAAGCTATAACTTTTCTGGAATTCGATAATACATTTAATAGCAATATATACATACTATTCTCGAGTTCAGTCTAATTTACATCCAAGATAGTTTTTAATTCCAGTTCCCTTTTCTTAGGAACCTTGGTTAACTCCAGCAACTCCCTCTAAAGAGCAGTTTAAGCCTTGTCAAAGGTTTAAGGTGGTTTATACACGCTAACACAATGGGCCTTAGTGGATACTTAGGATTCCTGGTTTAACTTACCTTAATCTGTAACTAAGTCAATACCGCTTGCATTGCAAATCAGGCATTAGATTACTTGAGTACACAAATGGCATTAGACTGTTTAAGTAGTAAACAATTGAAAATATATAATTTTAAAAGCTAATAATATTAATAGTGTCATTATTCATTTTTTTTACAAAACCTTATTAATTCTCTAGTTCGTTTAAATACATTAACGCGCCCTACAATTCAACTACTGTGATAGTGTTAATAATCATTACAATCATTATAATATAGATGTGAATTTGAACTCATTATTAACAAAATAATTTTTTTACACATATTGCTTATTTACTGTAAAACTATCTATAAACAATAAACTTGGTAACTAGAGGGTTAAAAAAAACAAAATAATTCTTATGCAGTTTGTGCCAAGTGGAAAAAAGTCCTATATTTAGCCTTTATACACCCTAATGAAGTTAAATCAGCTTTTAATATTTTAAGAGTTTATAAACAAAAGAGCAAGTAAGAGTAACGATCAGAATGAGATAAATAAAACAAAAAGCTCTGTTTTGTCAAAAAGCTTTATGTGAGCATACATAATAAAATTAAATAAAATACTATGCCGCTTCATTTACGATAGCTAGAATAGCCGCAATGGCAATAATTTAAACGAAAGAAACAATAACAAACATTATGCCGGCAGAATAAAATAAACAATACGTCAAAGAACTTTTTTGCAAACACTTAAATACTACTATGAGTAAAAATAAAAGCAAGAGTAACAATGACTGACTACAACAACAATTACCGGCATTTGAAGCAGCAGAAGCTTTGCAGAAAACTTTTTTTTTCAAACTTGATATAATTTGCTAATGTGTACGTATGTGAACGTGAAAGTAAGTTGGCAGCAAATGTTGGCAGCGCAGTTGATGCTAAGAACATTTAAGTGGCGCTCACATGAGTGTTTGCAAAGCAAAAAATAAAAGCCACAAAATAAAAGAAAAAAACTTAAATAATTTTTTGTGCAATTTTTTTTTTTTTTTTATATTTATAATTATTTGTTATTAATAAACTTACTAAATTTTTTGTTTCTTTGTGTAAGTGAACGCGCGTATTTTTGGACAAATTTGAATAAGTGTTGATTTTTTGTTTAAAAGTATTGGTTGAAGCTTTATTTTAATAAGAACATGAAATTTTAATTTATTTAACAACCATACAACAACAACAATAACAAACACAGTAGCAAAAGTTATAAAAGTTGCAGTAGCCGGTGATATGCAGGGTGGTGTTGGTGATGACTTGAGAACTTTCGTTTTTTAAATAAAAACGTAAATTATATTTACATTGTATTTGTTTTACACAATCAAAGTAAATGAAAAAAAAAATGGACGGATATTTTTGTTGATGATGCTGTGTGTTGTAGCAGAATTAATATAACCAGAAATAAATAGAATAAGCAGGAAAGAGCGCTACTGCAACAGCTTTGCAACTTTGACAGTAGCGACGATGACGATGACGTTGACGCTGACGCAGACATGCTGACATATAAAATTTTTTTAGTATATTTAACAGTTATAAACATTGTCATATTATGAATACAAAAAAAAATAAAAAGAGTAAAGAATACAAAGAAAAAATCTAAAGAATTCAATCACGAGTATTTAGATTATTTTTTAAATATATGTACATGTATAAAAATAGTATAAAAAATGTTAAAAATAAAATTTTTTGAGATACGATCATATGTACATATGTATGTATACATTTATTTGAATATAAATTGATAGTTTTTTAATTATGTGTGTTGATAAATATTTACTATATGGTAATTACATAGCTTTCCGTTAGTTAGTTAGTTGCCTATTACGTTTTGTCATTTCAGCAACGTGACATTTCTTTTTACTCTTATATTTGCCTAATTAGCGTACCGCACCTCATCTCTTTGCACCGTTCAATGTATAACGTGCAACGTGTGCTCTGTTGCTTTTGTTCAGTTTGTCTCGCTGATTCTTGATAGCTTCTTGGGTGCGCCGCTGTCTTGCTTTTGTCGTAAGATATTTTCATTTTCACTTTCATTCTTTGCGATCGTGTGATGAAGTAATATTCACTTTAATTCAATTTGAAATTGATTTCTTTTTGTTTTCAATTTCATATCGCTACTTTACTTCTCCCGCTTGCGCAGTGTTTGACGAGAGTATGTGTGTTTGTGCGTGTGTTTGATTATGTGTGTGTGCACTTAGCGCACTTAAATAAATATTTCTTTATTGCTGTTTGTGTGTATTTACTCATCGTTGTATTTTAATAACAATTATCAATTTTTTTATTATTTGTATATTCATATTTTCAATTTGTTTTTATTGTTTTACGAGTATTTAGTTTAAATTAAAACAGGTCTAATTATTGCATTAAAAAGAAGAATAAAATTTTATGCAAATGATTTACTTAATTATATTGAGAATTGAGTTCCTTGTAAATGTGATTTGTTTTTCTTTCATTTTTGCAATCAGTTTTATTGTTGTTGTTTATAAATCATAAGCAAGGTCAGTTATAGAAAAATACACACAAACATAACCACAAAAAGGCAGCAACCACAGACAATATGTACGGACCTTCAGATGAAATATTTTATTAAGAATATTATTACATAAAATTTTAAAATTATATTAATTTCAATTTATATTTTAATATTTACTAAATTATTAATTTTTAATAGTTAAAATACAATAATATCAAATATTTTTAATTAATTTAACATAATTTAAAAGATGTATTTCAAGGCTTACATACAATAAAAGAGTATGGGATGTTACCATTTTAATTCACTGGAGAGTTCTAACACATCTTTATGTATATAAAAAAACAAACATATGTTACCTTTATATCCGTTATGGGGTTTAGTTTTGATATAAACAAAAGACTA